AGGATGGGAGAGACAACCCTAAACTTGTTTTAATCAAAATAGTGCTTTTGTGGGGGTTTTAAGGTAATATAATTGGAATATAGGGAACTTGTGAAACTTCCTACTCAGATAATTGAAGCTGTTATCATAGTGAAGTTTTTGTTTTCTTTTAAATTCAAAATGTTAGGATTTCACATGACTTCAGCAATCAGATATAAAGGACTTGGAGCTAAAATTAAACTGGAGAGCTGGAAAACTGATTGATACAGAGCTTTTATATATTATTTATTGCTGAATGCTCTGTAATACAGTATGCAGAGCACTGTAAAGCACATAAAAAAGGAAGCAAGGCATCCTTCTACAGATTGGGATAGATCTGTGAAATGAAATTTTTGTCTGTATATATAGATGGCTGTGTTTATGCATGTTCCTTCAGTCGTGTGAAGGTAGACACCTTTTATTTTTTTGTGACAGCTAATTAAAAAAAGTGTTTTAATATATCTTTTCATATTTTGTGTATATTTATTAGGCTAACTGTGATCTTAGAAGACAAATAGATGAACAACAAAAGCTACTTGAAAAATATAAAGAAAGGTTAAACAAATGTATTTCAATGAGCAAGAAGCTTCTAATTGAAAAGGTAAGTTTACTGCTTTTCCAATCTCTGTGATAGAAGCTGTGAGATTGCTGTACAACTCCATTATGACTCCTTCCTTTTCACTTCAGCTTTTTCACATTAGTCTCTTGAGACTGGAAGTTCATACTCATGGTCTCTACCTGGGCAGTATTTTTATAAACCTCAATAGGCAAAATAAACCTGAATAGGCAAAAGTTGAGGCTTTTTCTAGATCGTGGAAAATGTGGAAAATAATTTTTAAATTATTTTCCCATCATAAGTAGCTCAGATATGCCGAAACATTAAAGATGAGAATTTAATATGTGGCATGTTTTCTGGACAACCTGTAAGATCACAGTGGATGAAAGAATTTCTGAACATAATCTGTTGTGTAGAGGAGGCAAATAAATTCTCTTTGTTAGACACTTAAATGGCTGAGGTAATTTTTGATTTAAAATTATAAAATGCCATGTGAGCTGAGAATCAATAGAAACAAGGAAATGAAGGTGACTGTTTACCTTCATCCCACTACTAAAGAAATATTTAATTGAAATATAATGGCAATTATTTTTAAACTAGGAGCAGTTTCTTAAAAGACAAGGATTCCTTGTTTCTCTCCCTCTTCTTTAAAATAGCCTTATTTTAAAAAAAAAACAAACAAAAAAGTAATAGAAAAACAGCTTATTACATTAGGATACACAAATGTTTAAGATGAACAGCCAAGTCTCTTCCCTAATGCTAGCTGCTGGACGCTGCTGTCACATACAAGGGCACAAACTGAGCCCTTAGTGGATTAGGGAGTTTCACCACTAGCAGGTCAGAAATAAATGCAGTTCCTTACAAGCTCCAGCATGAGGGGAATGCAGGAAAGAGATGCATCAGGTCTGTTCAGTGCCTTCAAACTGAGAATGGGCCGTGCAGGCCCCTTCTTCAGTCTAGAGTTCTGTTTGCACAGAGATCCTTAGTTCTGTCAACTTGTCGGTGTTGTGTGTGTGATCTGGGGTCACAGGCATTTCTTAGGAATTGGGCATTGGTAACAGAACAGTTTCCTTCCATCAGGTGTTCACAGTGCTCTTCCTTCTGCGGCTGAAGCAGACAAGGCAGACTCAGTTGTCTGTCAAGTCCCAGGGATGCTGTGGTAGCAGTGAGTGGTTCTGGAAAGGGCACCTGCCTCTGTTACCACAGGTGACTGTTTGCAGCTGAGCCTGCTTGCAGTGTGTTGCCACATGGAAGTCCCTGGACAAAGTCACTTTGGTACAGGTAGTCACATAGGTGCTCTGTCAGGGAAGTTCCCAGGCTCAGTATAGTAGGTGTTCCCTTTCTGATATCTAAGTAGGCTCATTTCTCATAATAGACATGTACAGACAGAATCTTAATTAGATGCCTCTAAATTCTGATACTGATACTCTGTTTTTCTGTATTTACAAATAAAGTGTTTTGTTAAGCATGAACAGTGAACTTTACAACTGAGCCAAACTCAGATTATCTTTTTTTGTGCATAAGTTGTCCTCAGTACTGATCCTGACAACTGCAGACTTAGAGTAAGTGGGGTAAAGTTTCACTCACTATCCTTTTATCCCTCTGTTAGAAGGCTGTTGGAGGAAAAAACCTGAGTGTTTATTGACTTTTTGAACACTTCAGCACAACTAAATCTGAATATTTATTTTTGTTTTCTCAGAGCACACAGGAGAAGCTGGCAAGCAGAGAGAAGAGCATGCAAGACAGATTACGCCTGGGGCATTTTACAACAGTTCGTCATGGTGCTTCATTTACTGAACAGTGGACAGATGGCTTTGCATTTCAAAATCTTGTGAAGTTAGTCAATGCTATGTTCTTAAAATTCTCACTAATTGTTAGTTCCCTCTAGTGGATTTTTTTATTACTAATGTTCTAGGATTGCAATAGCTTTTCATATATTGTGTTTTGCTTTGCCTTTTGAAGACTGAGAATACAGTACAGAACTCCATTAATCAGCTGAGGGAATACTAAGACTGGTTGTCTCTCTGAAACACAATTTGGTTTCACTTGGGTTTAACTATCCTTGGAAAAGTGTGAATGCAGCAAATAAGCAGCACATAATCATTCAACTCTGGTAGAAAGAGTTGACTACCATTTCAGCTGGTAGAAAGAGCTATGAAACTAAATCAGTGAGTTTTCAAGAAGCTAACCATGTATCACTGGTGCTCATTGAGGCACATGAGGTCTGTCAAGTTCTCACTGGTCACATAGGTGCTACCCAGCACATCATCACAGTAGCAGCTTTTTCAGGCATCCTGGTCCTCAGAGCCATGAAGGAAGAGTGAAAAATCTGGCAGCCTCAGATAGGGTCTAGTGCAAGTGGAGGGGAGAGAGCAATCACCTGGAAAAGAGCTGTAGCAGGTATTTCAGCAGAGATGGGGCCAAGGAAAAGGACTCTGGGAGAACATTGGATATAGTGGTAAAATATTTATGCAGTGCTTCAAAAGGTGTTCTTTGGTAATGAGTCTGACTCAGTCTTTGGAGATATATGTAGATAGATGCATTTTAAAAAGTAATCCACTAAGATTTTAGTTTTTAAGAGCAGCATGTTGTCTTAGCATTATGTGACTGCCTAGGGCATTGTTTTTCTAAAGCAATCTTAAAAACAGTCTGTAGATATGTTTTGCATAAAAGCTGTAATTGTTTGCCATACAACCAAACTGATGATTTATTTGGGAACAGTGGGTTCAAAATCAGTGTTTGGCCTATAAAATTCAGATCCTCTCTGTTCACTCTGTTATGGGGTTTTTGATGGTATAAAAGAAGGTATTTGCCAGTTTAGATACATTTTTTTCCTTTTTCTAGTACAGAAATTATGCATAACACTTTGAAAAACCAAACAACCCCAAAACAAAAATAACAAAAAACCACCACATATTTACCAAGTCAACTGTGGCAGAACTTTAGCAAAATTTTCCCACCTCATGAAGAACTTTGGGGTTCTTTTTCTTGGGAAATACATTCACATGTACAGTAAGTTTTCTGAAATTTTAAAATGCCTTATCAGTTGAACAGATAGTTCTCTAAAGAATGCAAATTGATGAAACTTTATTAAAGCTTTTTTTTTTGGTTTACAGGCAGCAAGAATGGGTGAATCAACAAAGGGAAGACATTGAAAGGCAAAGAAAGCTCCTGGCCAAGCGAAAGCCTCCAACTACAAATAATTCTCAGGCACCATCTGCCAATTCTGAACCCAAGCAGAGGAAAAATAAAGCTGTGAATGGGGCAGAAAACGATCCCTTTGTTCGACCCAATTTACCACAGCTGTAAGTTTAACATTTCAATCAGCCTTTTACATAAATTCTCAGATATTGTCTGTGTGCCTTCTATTCAGACAACAGCATAAAAAGACACTCGGTATATTCAGCAGCTATATTCTCACTGAGGACTTGCTGATGGTAGGGAAATTTGCACCACTGTCTATGAGTTGGTTTACAATTGCACAATTTATTTTTGGTAAAGTCACCAGAGAAAGGCCCATTCTGTGTTTATGCAATGCTCTCATGTTTTCCTGATCTAGAAGTGTCCTTACCCTGACTTCCCACTCTTGTAATGTCACTGACACCTATTGAACTTTTCTTGATCCACATTGGTTTAAGAGCTTTAGTTAGAGATCATTTTGTTTTTCCTGTATCAGTACTGAGTTGACAGGAAAAGCGTTTTTCAGCCTTTAGTATTTGAAGACATGTCTAAAAACAAATGGAAAAAATACCTCTTTTTCCCCCTTCTGAATGCTAGATCCTGTGTTCAACTGTCAGAAGTTACTGACAGCTATCAAAGAACCTTTTTTTTTTCCTAGGGACATTTTTTCCTGCAGACAGAAATGGTGTAATTCAAGGCACAGACAGATGTGTTCTTGACATTTAATTTGAATATTTTATGAAGTTGCTGCTTGAAGACACTAGTTATTGCCCTTGATGCTAAGAGGCTGCAGCTGATAGTGTATCTGTTCCTAGTTTATTTTTAAATAAAAAATAAATAACTAGGGATAAAAAGACTAAGAAATTAATCTGTTTTACTTTGCAGAAGTAAGCTACTTGTGTTGAACATGGTCATCTGTCACCTCTCACTTGTGGAGGTAGTAATTTATACCTCCAGGGGTTGAAGGTAAATAAGTTACCCTGGTCAGATCTGCAAAAGACATATGTTTGGCCCATTCCTTTGGAGACAGCTGCATGTGTTCTGCATAGTGCATCATTCTTACAGTTCACATTGTGAAGTCATTTTGCTGTGACAGAAATACCACGAAAATAACAGTTGTAAGGCTGGCAGTGTAAGCAAATCTGGATTAGCATTACCTGTGTGTTTTGACAGAGCTGAAGAGTCACTGTTCACAGTGTGATTCTTTAGTAACACTTAGTGCCTGTGTTTCTCCCGAGACTGTAGTTAATACTTCTGAATAGTGCAGTAAATATTACCATTACGTTAAAAATACCTTTTGCTTGAATGTAGTTCCTCTTGTTACTAGAAGTAACATTTAAGTAATGGAAAATACCTGGAAAATTACAGAACTTTAAATTTGCCAGCGTTTGGCCAGATCTAATCCCATAATCTTATTGCTGCTTTGAGAGGTGATAAAATACACATTTGGGGAAAAATGCAGATGTCATGATCTAACTATTAAGTAGGGCGAGAGGAATTCTTGGTGTTACACAGTTTTAAATAATTTCGCATTTACTAAAAGCTTTTCAGATTTTCATTTCATTTGTCTTAAACAGTTACATGTTAAATGACACATGAAAATGTTTGCTGGTTATGGAAGTGCCAAGAGAACAGTCAGAATTGCCCTTTTGTATCTAATGCTAGCATAAATGTTGGCAGTTATTGAATCAAAACTGGTTTGCCTTTAGGTCTCCTAATTTGATAACAATATAATGTAGATATGAGATTACTTGCCTATATGATAAGTTTATCAATTTTGTTTCAGGCCTTTGGGAAGATCTGTAATGCATCCCGAGGTTGCAGAATCATTTATCCGCATTATGGTCTTAGGCCTTCACTTGAAAGGGTTTTTTGATGTTTTTAGTTAGGTGTCCTTTATAACTTGGTATAGTAGTGTTATGTGTTGAATCCTCTCTGCTTCTCAGGCCAGAATGAAATGTTTTCCATATCTTGGTGATACATTAATTGTGCACTTCCATTTTAGAGCAAATATGTCATCTGCTGTATGTGATTCCTTCCTACTCCATTTTGCTATCACTGTTTCTGCATTACTTCAGCAGAATGATCTTAATTAGTATAGCCAAATGGAGAAGGTTCTGTTTATATGCTGCATGAGGCAATGCAGAGCTGCTTGAGATTAATGAACTAAAGCAGTAGTAAGTCAGTACAATGTATATGAATGTGATCAGGCAGGTCGGTTTGAAACATACAGGCAACTTGCTAGTGGTTGTTAGCAACAGGTGCCTTTACCACTGGGTTGCTTGCTTTAGAAAATGTCTCCAGCTTCAGATACTGACAGACAAAATGATCTATAGCTATGTAACACACAGTAGCATTGAAGCCTTTTCTGAAAATGGGTCTCAACTGTTATGAACAAGACTGAAGATGTTACCCAAGGCATTGATAAAGGCATTGTTTTAGTTTGTCTGCATATACTGTGATCTTTGATATGAATTTAAAAGCAAAACTTCTGCACTGAAGTTACTGGTGGAAAAGTGCCCTTCCGACCAGTGTCCTGTGAGTGGGTTTGGTGTTTAAGTAACATGCAACAGAAGAGTCCAAACACTGTCCTGGTTTTCCATCATTCTTTCCCTTTTTGTAGCCTAAACTAAAACTAAAAAGTAGTTTCAATTTTGAGAGTTATCTTTTCTACTAAGCAAAATAATTTTATAAGGCTTACATGAAAGGATAAATTGAAATTTATTTTTTAAAAAACCCCAGCATTTATTTGAAGTAGAGGTTGCCTGCTTAGCCCTGGAAAAAATTCTGTTTGAAAATTCTACTCCAGATTCTTTGGAGACCTGAGAGATGATTCTGTGAGATTACTTAGCTAGGCCACACCTCTTGGAAACAGCTCTTATTTTGCTAGACAGTTGCTTCTAGGAGCAGTGTTTTATTTAGTTTTTGGTGGTGTAGTCCCTCCTGTGCAGCTTCAGCCATTTCAGTTGCATTCATTCCCAGTCATCTCTTCAGTTCTTCCCAGTTCCTCCATGGTAGTCTGCATGCAATTTGGAGTAGGAGAGTAGGGAGAGCTGGCAGAGTTTGTTCCTGTAGCTGAACAAATGCATCATTTAAAGGGAGCATTCTGTTCTGTATGGAACAAATAACAAATATTTTCAGAAACTTTTTGAGGCTTAAGTGTCAACAATGTGTCCAGGCTTTACAGGACAAGTAAAGACAGCTCCTTTCCTAGGGCACTCTCTTTCTAAGGCAAACATGGAAACAATGGGTGAAAAGACATCCTGAAAGATTTTTACTTGGTCAGTGTCTGTTCGGCCTTGTAGAAATTTGGGGAACTGGTGTGAGGATAAGGTTGGACCAAAAAGGAAGAGCTTCAGAAATTGTAGCCAAAAACTTGTATTGAATGTGTATGTGACTGTTTGGGAGCATGGCTGCATTCTGCTGTGCCTGTGTATCCAGGTTGTTTTTCCAACTGGGACAAGGTGGGAGGAGAGATGCTTGTAAATGTAGCAGTCTTGATCATTGTGAAAATGAAAACTAAGGAACACAGGCAAGTTTGGGTTTTTTGTCTTGTCTGTACCCACTAGGAAGAGTGTTTCTATCATACAAGAAGGTTTTGTGGGAACTTGTGAGGAAGAAGTAAAAAGATGACTGGTTATGTCTATCCATGCATATTGTGGCAAAACCTTTGAAATTTGCCTATGAAAACATAGTTGACTGAAAGGCCTATTTTTGCTAATTAAAAACCAAAATGTTAGAATGGGTGATTATCAAGCCTTTCAGGCCAGGAAAGCTGTCCATTTTCTTCCAGCAGCAAATAAAGGTGTCACATCATGGGCCTAGTCATCACAGGAAAATTATACTACATGCCCATAATTTGTCCAGCGCATTTTAGGGAATTTCAGGAATTCATTGCATATGTTTGAAAGTTTGTTTGGCTGCAGACAGTTAAAATACAGCATTTATTGCACAGAGAAGATCATGGTCAGGACCAGACAGTTGCTGCATTAATTCATGCAGCCTACTCCCAGCTGCCCTCTTTGCCCAGTGCTACTAGGTTAGCTTCAGGCCTGACTATCCAAATCAAGTTCGTTTAGTGGGTGGCTGCAGCCTAGTTGTTTCTAGTTGACGTCCCTCCCTTGTCCTCCTCAACCTTTCTTTCTCCACATCTGAGACCTGTGTGTGTCAGGTGATGGAGGAGCAACCCCTTCTGCTGGAAATGATGGTGTCTTGTAGGTAACTTGGATGGGGCCCTGAGCAACCTGATCTGGTAGGTGGCATCCCTGCCCCATGGCAGGGCATTGGAACTAGATGATCTTTAAGGTCACTTCCAAGCCAAACCATTCTCTGATTCTCTATACAGAAGGTGCCTCCAGGTGCCACTGCCCTCCAAAAGTTGTGGTGAGTAGATGGAGGCAGGAGGTGGTGGGCTGATGGGAAGCAGTCTCTAGGCTGCTAGGATGTTTCCAGACTGCAGTGGGCTGGTGGCCTGTAGCCAGAAAGCAGACAGCATGCACACTGTCATTGATTTAGTGCTATTTGTTTTATGCTATTTTAATAGAAATATAAAGTACAGTGTATTTATAGATAAAAAGTAATAAACCCCTAAAAAAAAAAAGTAAATGTTTTGGAATATGAAATAATAAAGTTTTGGGTTTCATAAGCAAATGAACAAAATCCAAAGTGGCTACATCTGTGTACAGTTGGGTGTTTTATATGCTTTCCTCCAGAATGTGGTGGTCAGTAACGACAGTTTCAGATTGCTGTGAGTCCTGCTGTTCCCCTAATAGAGTTAGATTTGTAAGGAAATAGAAAAATGGAAAACAGTCATTTATTGGGATGTAGCATGGAAACATGGAAGGAGTGACTTCAAGTCTTAATGTTTTCAATATGACCTCTAATTTGTGCTCTGCTCCAGAGGGCTATTTCAGAACTTTTTGGAAGGCAATACTTACTAGAGCAGTCTAGGCACTTTGTCATAGCTCTGCATGAAGAGCTGAGGTTTTATACAAAGGACCAGATTTTCTAGATTATGTTAGTTTTTAAGGGGATATGTGGGTTTTGGGCTCTGTGTTCATTGAAAATCCTGGTAGGTCATGTCATAAACTTCGTCTTTTTAGTGTGTTTTACTTGGGGTTCAGCTTTGCTAAGCCACCTAAATACTTAGGCTGCTTTCTGAGAAAGACAAACGTTACTATATATGTCTCTGGAAATGCACAAACCTGTAATTTATACTGGAGACAAGAATCTGGAAAGAACAATATTCAACCTTGTACACATTGGCATTGATTCCTTGTCTTTTTTAAGTGAGAACTTAATCTATGTTAGAGTAGTTCACTGTTTTAATAGGACTATTGAAAAAGCATCAGGGATGTCACAGTGAGTTGTCTAGTGTGGCCTTGTTGCTCTCTTTGATAATTCTAGCAGGTGTATTAGAACAGGAATTAAAGCATTTGTTTCTTAGGTTTCTTGCTGTTGCTTGAACCGTACAGAGAATGCACTGCCAGCTTTCCTAGCTATTGAGACACCCCATTTCACATTTGTTTTAATGCCTCTTCTTTTAAGATGTAGTATAACTTGTCTAAACCCACAGGAGATTTTGGTAGGAAAAGAACATAAACATTAGGTCCCAAAATCTGGTACTGAGAGACCTTTTGCCTTTCTTGGAAAGGCAAGTTTCCTCACTCTGTTGCCTTCAGAGCATTTGCGGATGTCTGTTGACTGGAATACAAGACTGCTTTGAATTCCAATAGGAAAAAAAGATGCAGGGTGACTTTGTATGATGCTTCTTAAAAGACAAGTTCGCTTCCCTTTCAGATCCTGACAGGACATGATGATGAGTGCTTTTGTCACCTGATCAGTGTGTTTTCTGTGCGTCACAGATCAGAAGGTTGATGATATAACTGCAGTCTTGTGAAGCTGTTTCTAATCTTTTTAAAATTTAGATACTGTGGTCAAAAAAGAACCCAGTAATTTCACTGATACTTGGTTGAATCAGTCTTCTCAACTGGTCAAACCAGGAAAGGGGCAGCAAAATTCAGTATTTGTATCAGGAATGGAAAGGGCTCTATGAAAGTTCAGAACCACTAGGTTTTATCCTGAAAAGATGCAGTCTTCTATTAACAACTTTTGAGACTCAATAAATATAGGGGTTAGAATTCTGAAAATTCTGGCAAACTTTGTCCAGATTTAAAAGGGAGAAAGAAGTCTTATAGTCCATTAGATTTCTGCAAATTTTATTGAAGTTGGCATATGCTGTAAGAGAAGTCTTGAATGGGTATCCCTCACTTCTGGTGAAACTATTGGTGATTCTCAAGGCATTCTAGTCCTTCAACTTGCAATATGAACAGCATGTGTAGCCTTCTAAACACCTTGGGTAACTATCTTCCCAACTGATAACTCATAAAAATAGGGATTTCATGAGAATGTATTATACTGTTAGTTCTAGCTTTGCATGGTGCAAGAGATATTAGATCTAGGCAAAACAATAAAATGTTTAATTTTAATTTGTTTTTAGGGACTTGTGTGAACCCTTTCATGGAGGTCATTCCTTTCTCCTTCCCCATCCCCTGTTTCACATCATATATGCATGGGCTCTTACCTGGAGCTTAAGTCTCTTGGGTTTCTTTTCTTTGGTGTTTGTCTTCTGTGTCCCTTTTGTTCATCAGATGGATATTGCATGCAGGCAGTTTGCTGGTTTCTTAGTTACTAATCTGTATGAACAGTTTAGATTCCCTACATGATTACTGACTTTGTGTCCTAGCAAGTCTATAGACAGTGAGGGACCATTGAATTAATTATAGACAGAAATCTCTGAGAAAAGGAAGATGAAGACAACAAGCAAAAGAGTCATATGTGAATTCAAAGCTGAATTTGTGGTTTCATGCAAAACATAATGCTAATGAACTTGCAGTGTATTGTTTTGCACTACCTTGTTCAAATCTCAGTTTAGACATCCAGTGTTATCACTCTTGTCTAACTGGTTTCTGAACATGTTGGAGTTCAGCATGGAGCAGTGGAGTAGCATCAGCTAAAACACAGGGATGGCGATATGATTCAGGATGCACCTAAGTAATCTAACAGGCTACCTGAGAGAACAGAAATGGTCCAGTGGAAGAGGCAGTTAATATTCCAGAATACCAGACACAGAGGCATTTTGTAAGTATGTTTTGACCCTGAAATTACAAACCAAGATATTCAGATGGTTCAAAAATTTACTTGTATTATTGTGGTACTAAACCACATGAGATATTGTATATACTGTAGTAATTAAGTAAGAATGCTATTGTTTTGTTTGCCACCATATAAAAGCTGTAATTACATGATTGTTTTGTTTTTCAGTTTGACTCTAGCAGAATATCATGAACAGGAAGAAATTTTCAAACTTCGATTAGGACATCTCAAAAAGGTATTGGTTTTATTGATCATGCCCAATCCCATAAAACCTGGTACTATCAGAATAAAGAGAGGACTTGTGGAGAGCTGTCTGATTAGAAAACCTAATACTAAAAGCGCCCTACAACCTAATGCCTAGTAGTGGCTTTCCTTGTGCTTTGGGGTTTTTTATGTAACTTGCCATAAATATTGGGAGTGCAGGGGAGTAGTAGTGAATCCTTCCAGAGTAACTCTGCTGATTCCTTGAATCCTCCTAACACTGGTAACAATGATGATGCCACCAGTGCTGCTCTTTCTTTTCCACTTCTGGAGCTCTTGTTTCGGAGCTCAGCAAGTGTAGTCAGCCAAGTTTGACATAGGAGCTTTTTGTGTTAGTTTTGGACCTTTACAAATCATTGTATTTGTGAGTGAATATCATGTTTTCATCATCTGCAGTATCCACTTCAGTCATTATCAGTTAGCTTACTACCTGTCATGAGAGAGAATACAATTTTCATACTTGTACAGAAAGTCTTCTCTCCATACCTTAAATTATTTCTGCAGTCAGATGTTTTACTCCAGTCTTTGAATTTGGAAAAAACCAGCAGTGCTTCTGTCTTGGAGCCCATCATTCCAATAGATCTGTGCAGTGAGATAATTACCATATTAACAAACTACTGCTCATTCAAGCGTAGCTTTTGAGGAATAACCTGTGAAAACAAATGACAGTGGAAACAGACAGAAACACCTCAGAAGGAGTGAAAGAAAAGTACCTGTATCTGCTGAGCAGCAGTTTACGAGTTGTTCAGTCAAAACAGGTCACAGTAGTGTTGCATAGTATTGATGCAGGGGTGAAAATACCCTTTTCAAATGGGGAGTAAATGAGCTTTTATATTTCCTTCTTTTCACAGGCCTGTTCTCTTCAAATGTAGAAGTCACCTGTTATAAATCCTACTGTAATAAACTGAACTGGGCCCCTAGAAAATGCTGCTGCTGTCTTTAAAGGACATGACAAGAAAGTACTTGAATCTGTAATAGGGAATCTGCATATAAGTTGTTGGCACTAGCAGAGTAGACTCCCACATAGTTCTTAATTGTTAATGCTTTAGAAATAGCATCAGCTTCGCATGACATTCTGTTAGGAAATTTTGTAGGGTTTTTTTCCATGCTTTAAATTTTTTCAAGTCTGATGGATATTTGAAGTGATAGATGAAGGAAGGTGTTACATAGCTGTTTAATAGTGGAATTTTGGTTTCCCCTTGAGCATCAGTGCTGGAGTACTTTGCATAAGAAGGAAATTCCTTGGGTAAATGCCAGAGGGGAAACAAACATTAATTCTTTGCAAATCATGTTTGAACATCTCTGAAAATAATAATCAAAATACATAGTTGTATTTAAATTCTTATGTATGATACAGATTTTGTCATTGACTAGGAAAAACAATTTTGTTACCTTTTTTTGCATGGCTGTATTTCTTCTCTGGTGCTTCTTTGCTAGTTACATTTTAATCTTCTTCAGCATATGCTGTTTTGCTGTCTGCTCATCTTCCTTTTCACTCTCCAGATGCTATCCTGGTGCTCTTATTTTTGGTGCTCTGTACATGCTGCCACCACCAGTTTTCTTTCCCTTCTGCTACCCAGGAAATTCTTTTCCAGCTAGCGGCTTTGGTCCTGGAGAGAGGCTCTTGTTTTCTCACTTCCTTTTATATGGCAGTGACCTGAGGCAGCTAAGCTGGTTCATTCTTGCTTAAAGGTATTCACAGCCTGAGTGTCCTAAATAACAGCTGGAAACAATGCAACCAGCCAGTTCTCTTTGGACTAACACTGGCCTATGAACCACATTTTGAGAACCACTGAATTGCATAATATATGAACAAAAAAGTCCAAAAGAGGCATAACTGATGGATTTTTTTTTTTGTCAGCCTTTGGGAAGAACACAGACAATGGTGTGTGTATAAGTGTGTGGCCTTTTGTAGGGTGAGAAGGACTAGAATTCTTTATAAAGGACTACTGGGTTATGAGGAACTGCGTATCATTTCAGGGTATTTAACAGAGAACTGCAGGGATGCATCTAAATGTAAAAAAAAAAAAAAGAGTTTAACATTGTATAAACAGGAAAAACACCCACAACTCTTGACAGTATGTCTTAGGAAGAACAAATGGTCCACCCAGATCTGCTAGCAGATTAGTGCTACTTAGTCCAGCTTTTCAATCATTAGGAATTTGATTTTCATTTTCTGAATTGGAGGTTTATGTCACGTCTTGCTTTGGGGTGAGAGGTTTTTTTCCACAGCTTATGGGGAGGTTCACGATATCCACTGAAATCATCTAGTCCAGACTCCTCAGCTCACTGGAAATGTGGACATTGAATGTATTTTAGATTATACAGATGCAGTTGTTGTTTCAGGCTTATGATGTACAATATTGGAAAACAGTAGTTTATGGCATTTTCTCTCTCCCTTGCTGACTTCTGCCTCCAGCCCCTTGTGCCATGACTTGTTGCCCTGTTGCTTTTACCAGCAACACCAGGTTGTACAGTCACAGAATAAATTGGATCAGACAACTGATCTAGCTTCATTAAAAACCAAATATGTATTTTTTTTGTGATGCTTCTTTTTCTTTTTTTTTCTTTTTTTTTTTTTTTCCTTCTGTTTGGCTTTTTGATTTGTTTTTGTTTTTTTTAAAGAAAAAGTTTGATTAGTATTCTGGTTTGATTTACCATGTAGCTGTGCAAGAGGCTCTGCCAAAATAACTGAGATGATGAGGGGCACTGCTGCTAAAAAAAATATGTATCAGATGCCAGGCCTTCTTTTTCAACTAGAATAATTCCATAATTATAAGCTTTCTGTTACAGACTGACCTTGTCCCCCCTTTATTCAAACTTGTAAGTACTAGAGGCACCAAGTCTGAAATCAGTATAACCCTGTCTTCAGTGTCGTTCACTTTTTCAGTGTGTATGGGTACATAGGTTTCCACAAATTGGGCATTGTGAATTCTTTACTTTTTTAGAGAGTCTGAATAAACAACTATTTCATTGTTCTCTAATAACAGCATAAATATGAGATAAAATTAACTGCTGGGATTAGTTAGGGAATGTGCTCTTACCTGACATGCTGCTTTTGAAATGGCACTTAAAACCTTGGGCTAGACACATTTTGCACTTGTAATTTTAATAAGATACAAATGGAAACATCTTTTAAAATTAGATTTGTTTTGGCATATTGTATCAGCATCTTAAGAAAGTTTCTTTTTCTTGATTTGCACTTCTGCCTCAAACACTTTAAATGTCTTTTCTTTATCTGTCAGTTTGTGCAGAACCTCTGACTCCACATAGCTCAGTTTTTTTCTGCTTTGTACATCAATTTCAGACCGCTTCCCAGCTAATTTCTCTCCTTGGCTGAGGTGCAAAACCCAGCTGCCTCTCATTTCAAATAGCATCCCTACAGTGCAGAACAAAACTGTGAACATCCCATTACCTGTGAGTTCACGGACAGAAAGGTTCCTTGAAACAGGCTTTTGCCTTATCTGCCTGAATTTTTCTGGC